GTGTGTGTGTGTGTGTGTGTGTGTGTGTGTGTGTGTGTGTGTGTGTGTGTGTGTTTCTCCAAGGTCTTCACGACTGCTACTTTCCCCCTAACCCTGTTCTGAATCGGGGCCCCAGCCACATCTCCCCCTGAACATCGGTAGCACCTCTCACAGCATCTTCACCCAACCTGTCCACCTTCTTACTGTGTCCCCCTTCCCCCAATCTCCTGGGAGCCCCTGTTCATGTGTCCCAGTCCTCTCTAATTTGGGGTTCAGGCCCCTGCCCAGCACAGACCTCTAGGACCCCTTCCAGCTGTCCAGCCCTGGAGCACTTGAGGCCTGACTTGGGTCCAACCACTGTGTGTCCCAGCATCCAGCCCGGGCAGGCCTGCAAGAGCATCTGAAAGGGTTGGTGGGAGTGAAGTTTGAGCAGCGGACTCATCCTCATTTATTCAGTGTGTGATGAAGCAGCTTCCCTGTGTCCGCTTGGTGCTAAATGACGTCCATGTGGGATCTCACTTTCTTTTTAGAACACGCGAAGGTCTCGGGCAGTCTGCCCATCTTGTAGATGAGGAAACGGAGGCTCTAAAGCAGTGAGAAACTCAGATCAGATGTGAATAAAAGGTGAGCCAGGTCTCAAACCAGGCCAGATGGCTCCAAAGACTAGACACTTTTTTTTGACACTGTCCCAGCCTAGACGTGTGGTCTGTTCCTACCAGGGATCCATCAAGACAGGGCTGTAGTAACTGACAGATGAGGAGACCAAGGCTCGGGGCGGTAAAGGGACCTGCCCAAACTAAGGGCAGCACTCCGGTGACGTGGTGCCGGGCAGGATGCAGCCCGGACACTTGGAGGGGTACCTGCGGAATCTTCTCGGTCGCCCGGGTGAAGCCAAGGTCACACAGCAGTCAGCTCTGAGCCAGCACTCGCACCCAAGTCCTCCGACTTCACTAGTCCACAGCCTGAACCAAACCTGGCTGCTGAGTACGGCTTCCTACTCAGGGCCTGCTTCCTGGGCCAGACCCGGAACAGAATCCAGACTGTTAGTAGAGCCCCCTACGCACTGTGCTGCCACCTCTGGGCCTTTGCCCAGGCTGTTCCCTCTGTCAGGAACACTGTGCCCTTTCCTCCTGGAAATTCAGATTTGGATTCAGAGCCCAGCTGAGACATGAGTCTTCTAGAGGAAGTTCAGGAGTGTAGACCTGCTCACTGCCATGTCATTTACCATCTCTGTGCCTCAGTTTCCTCATTTGTGTTGGGGTCTCATATTACAGGCTCTTTGTGAGAGTCCACATGCCATGGTAGCTGCACTGAGCTGAGTTCAGGATGGGCTCACGGTGCTTTAGGTCAGTGAAAGCTGCTGTTGGTAAATACGGGAGAAAACCTACCTGATCACATGAGGAGGAATGAATAACTGCTGTGTTTCCCTCCAGGAGCGGTGGCTCAGGAGCTGCAGGTGACTCAGCCTGAGACATCAGTGTCAGTCGCAGCTGGAGAGACTGCCACTCTGCGCTGCACCACGACCTCCCTGATCCCCGTGGGGCCTTTCAGGTGGTTCAGGGGCACAGGGCCAGGCCGGGAGTTAATCTACGATTTCAAAGGAGGCCACTTCCCCCGAGTAACAAATGCTTCAGACGCCACAAGGAGAGACAACATGGACTTTTCCATCCGCATCAGTAACATCACCCCGGCAGACGCCGGTGCCTACTACTGCGTGAAGTTCCAGAGAGGATTAGCTGGTGACACGGAGTATAAGTCTGGACCAGGCACTCGGCTCACTGTGAGTGGTGAGTACACGTGGGCCCCTCATCCCCTGTTCTGTGACGTGTCAACAAAATGCCCTCCTGTCTTTGAGCAAAAATAAGAATCAGGTGCAGCAGTGGGTGCTTTATCATGACTGGGTCATGATCTGATTTCCCTCTTGTCTACAGGGAAGTTGAGGCCTGGAGAGGTCGTGCTATCTACTCATGGCCCCACAGGTGGTAGAGGTGGGAAAAGTCTAGAAACCCAGGCTGCCTGGTTCTACATCCCTTGACTTTTCAGTCCCGTCCAGCCCTTTGGTTCCAGGGATGAGGGAGCTGAAAGTCTGAGTGACTCGCCCCGTCATAGGGCAGACCTCACCTGCTGCCTCCAGAAAGTGCTCCCCTCAGAGTGGCTGAGTCTTCTCTTTATTCAGCACTTACTGAGCACCTACTGTGTGCCCGGCCCTCCTCTGGATGCCACGGAATCAGGGGTGAGCAAAGCAGACAAGGGCTCTTCTCCTATGAAGCTTGTGTTCTCTTCCCTTCCAATGCGGAGAGTCCATCCAGGCCGGGGAAGGGCGGTGGGGAGAGTGTGTTTCTTCATTTCATCCTTAGAGACATCACACTGAGAAGAAATAACTAAGGGCACAGATTCCCTGTTGACTCTGACGGCTCTGGTTGGAGGAGGTACCCAGAGGTTGGGTGTTAGCACTAGGAAAACCCTCATGTGACTCAGTCACTGAAGGCTCAAAGCAGAGCTGGCTCATCTCAGAATGTCCCGCACCCAGGACAGAGGTTCCCCATGTGGCTGACTTAGGGGCTGCCCCACTGAGGTAGCAAAGGAGCTCATTTAGGGTTTTCTGTCAGAGGCTCAGGATCCCGAATCCTAAAATTTCAGCACAGGAAGGACTTTTAGACACGATCCACCCCAGTCCCCTGTGTACACAGGGGGAGCCTGAGACCACAAGGTGACAGGGGCCCAGACCACAGTCACATGGCCAGTGCATGAGGGGAGCCTTCCAGAACCCAGTCTGACCGAGGCCAGGCTCCTTCCTGCACTTTTTGGACACTGGCTCCACGGAAGAGCCTGGCACATAATAGGTGCTGATGAAAAGCTTGTTAGACCAAACCATTGAACAGGGAGCATTTTTATCAGTTTCCCAAAGGTTCAGAATGCCCCTCTCATTCTGACCCTGAAGCTAGAGGTGACTGGGGACCTCTCCCAACTTTCAACCACATGATGCCAAGTCTAGCATTCCATCTCAGCTGGAGCTGCTCCTTCCTAGACTGCCCATTGTTTCCACAGCTACAGAAACCGCATTGGATGGAGAGCGCATCTTTCCCTTTACAGTCTCCTGTTGATGGCTGTTAAGTTGTTCCCGATGTCGAGCTATTAAAACAGCGCTTCAGTGGATAACCTTGTCCACGCATCACTCTACTCATGGGGGGATTACCCACTGGAAGTGGCATTGCTGGGTCGCAGACTGTGTGCATTTTAATTTGTGGATATCACCAAATTTCCTTCCTAGACGTAGTACAAGCGAGTCCTGCTAAATCCCGGGACATTGGCAAGGAAGCTGGCTATTGCAGATATCACTAAAGTTCCCAGGGGGTGCGTCCCCTGCACAGCCGAAGACAGCTAGTAACTGGCTCCGGTGCCACTCAGACCTGCTGCCTCCCAGGAGACTGTCATCCTCTTCCCCAAGCACCTGCCCAGATGATTCCCTGGATAAGAAAGGAGGGAGGCAGGAGTGGGTGAGGGCCTGTCAGAAGCTGAATCTTCCTCCTGGCATTTACTGCCTATAACCAGCGCTCTGAGGGAGGGGCCATCTGTGCCCCTTTTACAGATGAGGACACTGAGGCCCCAAGAGGGGACCTGGCTGGTGAGCAGGTAGGGAGCCAAACTTTGAACCCCAAGCAGCCTGACTCACACCCAGCTCTCTGCACACCCCACTGTGCTTGTCAAAGTGGGGAGAAAACTCCACCCTCTCCTTTTATATCTTGTATTGTTCTGTTTCTCGGCAATAAGCATTTTAAATAAAAAAAGTCCTGTGTGAGATGGGGC